TCCTGCCTCCGCCTCCCAAGTAGCTGGGACCACAGGTGCCTGCCACAATGCCTGGCCATTTTTTGGTTGCAGCCATCATTGTTGTTTGGCGGGCCGGGCTGGGGATTCGAACCCGCCACCTTAGGTGTACGTGGCTGGTGCCCTAGCCGCCTGAGCCACAGGCGCCGAGCCCATTTATCACCTTTCTTATGTGTTTATTTGCTGTGCTTATTATGATGATGTTTGGAATTATTAAAATACTTATGATTTTTGTGATAGCAATGTATCACTTGGGAGGTAGAACATAGCTCTGTAATATACTTTACTTTCACGGTAGTGATCACTGTACTGACTGTAGTAACTACCACCATTTATTGAGCACTTGAGTTTCATGCTGTCCTAAGTTCTTTACATACATTAACTTACTTCTGCATCACCCTTTGATACGTTACCCTTTGAGGTAAGAATCCCTATTTTAGGCTTGGCTCCTGTAGCTCAGCAGCTAGGGCGCTAGCCACATATACCAGAGCTGGTGGGTTCGAACCCACCCTGGCCTTGCCAAACAACAATGACAACTACAACCCAAAAATAGCTGGGCGTTGTGGCAGGCACCTTTAGTCCCATCTACTTGGGAGGCTGAGGCAAGAGAATTGCTTAAGCCCAAGAGTTTGAGGTTACTATGAGCAGTAACACCATAGCACTCTACCAAGGGCAACATAGTAAAACTCTATCTCAAAGAAAAAAAAAAAAAAAGAATCCCTATTTTAAAGAGGAGGAAGCTGAGGCCCAGGTTAGTTACATGACTCACCCAGGGTCACACAGTTTATAAGCAGAGGAACTGAGATTTATACCCAAATCTGCCTGACCTAAAACTGTGCTTCTGTGTTTAAGTGTGTTATGTTTTATTTTGGTTTGTTTTTTGTAGGGAAGAACATGTGTGCCAAGGTAGCAGGCCTTGTGCTCAAAGTCCTTTCAGATCTGCTTGGACATGAAAACCACGAGGTACTCCACCCTTGCTGCAGGCCTTGGGCCTGGGGAGGCTCCTGTGGGTAATTGGTGCCTATGACCTTACAGTGCATGGCTGGCCCAGGATAGTAGTAGCATCTGCAAAGTTGTATATATTCTCCCTCTTCTGGGTTTGGGGGGGAGGGGTTTGTTTTGTTTTTTAGACAGGGTCTCACTACATTGCCCAGCCTTATCTTGAAACCCGGGGATTCAGCCATGTTCCCACTTAGCTTCCCAAATAGCTGAGATTATTATAGCCATGTCCAACCAGGCATAGCTCCTCCAGGTATTTTGATAAGTCATTTGAAATCTTTTATAATTTTTAAAATTTTAGAACTCAGAAGCAGGAACTTTTTCTTTGCCCCTCCCTTATGGGCACATTGACCTCACTGGCCTGTGCTGGGCCCTCTCCTGTGGTACCTTTTCTCCTTATTCTCTAGCCCCTATCATTCCTCCCTCAATATCAGCACTGCCTTTATTGTTTTTAATATATCCCCATGGATGTGGACGTAGCTTTAAAAGAAATATGATACTGTGTATTGAGTTTGCAGAAATAGTGTCCTCTAGATCTCGTTCTGCTAATGACTCCCCGTGCTGTGATCTGGGACTTTCTCTACTGCCTTTTATAGATCTAGTTTGACACCTGTCACTCCTGCAATTTAGTCCCTTGTTTATACCCCTGCCATTTTACTTATCCAGTCCTCAGAGGAAATACACTTTGAGTGCCTCTCACTCTGCTGCCATGAAGGTCCTCAGTGGACATTGCCACATTGGCCCTGTAGGGGGCCTATGCCAGAATGCCCTGGGAGTGTAGAGATAATGGCTGGCTTACAACATATGTCAGTTTCAGGCCACCAAGTCCTGCCATGTTGTGCAGAGTGGCTGTCCTAGATTTTGCTCTCATCAGCACTCCTCCTCCTCCTTCCAGCGCCTGGTATTATTTTTCTAAGTTTTAACCTGTAGCCACACTTTTAAATAAAGCAGTGATGGGGCACCCATAGCTCAGCAGTTAGGGCGCCAGCCACATGCGGGTTCAAAACCTTCCCGGGCCTGCTAATGAAAACAAAAAATACCCAGTCAGTGTGGCAGGCACCTGTAGTCCCAGCTACTTGGGAGGCTGAGGCAAGAGGATCACTTGAGCCCAAGAGTTTACGGTTGCTGTGAGCTATGATGCCATAGCACTCTACAGAGGGCAACAAAGTGAGACTGTCTCAATAAAAAATAAAGTGGTAATATCAGTAAGTAAATTAACAAAAATGATTAAACAAATGTGATTTTCTTGCATTTACTTTCTGCCTTTGCAGAAACCATGGCATCATTTGAGTCCAACACCTCAACAAAAATCTGACCTCGTTTGAAAGATCAGGCCCAGGGGATGTATCTCAGGAGGGCAGGATTGAGAACTGCTGAGTCATAAGAGAAGCACTTGGTTTCCACACATGTGTTTGCATTTGGAGCAGACTGCTTCCATTCTGATCATTCCACTCACATGTTGCGCTCTTACAGCCCCATCAGCTGCTTGATGTGGCTTCTTTAGCAAGCAGAGGCTTGGTGATTGTACAGTTTGTGCCAAGCATTTTCTATTTTTTTTTTTAAGAGACAGAGTTTTATTTTATTGCCCTTGGTAGAGTGCCATGGCATCACAGCTCACAGCAACCTCCAGCTCCTGGGCTTAAGTGATTCTCTTCCTCAGCCTCCCACATAGCTGGGACTACAGGCGCCCGCCTCAGCACCCAGCTGTTTTTTTGTTGCAGTTTGGCCGGGGCTGGGTTTGAACCCACCACCCTTGGTATATGGGGCTGGCACCCTACCCACTGGCCCACAGGCGCTGCCCCACATTTTCTATTTTAAAACCAGTTATTCAACTCGAGCGGTGAAACCAATGGGAAATATATTCTTCCATCTCAATAAAGGTTGGTTTCAAGTACTAGAACCAGATGTTGGCTCTGAAAACTGAATAGACCTGAGAATTCATCATGTCAGTAACTATTGCCAGTGCATTTGCTGTGAAAATGAGCTGGAATAACTTTTAATTTAGAGCCTAGAAATATGTTTGATATACAAATAAGTGTAACATACATGTATCCTCTATTAGATATCTGTGACCTTGAAAGACATAAAGAAAAAGATGCACATATTTAACTAAATGAACATTAAATTTTTTTGTATGGAAAAAGATGGTGTGACCGAAGTCAAAAGACAAACAGTAATACCATGAGAAAAAAGTCACATCACCTATAAAAAAAGCTTAATACTCCTAATAGATGAAGAGTAAATTATTGAGTAAAAGTGAAGCAATACAACAGAAAGAAAGAATAAAGAATATGAATAGATAATTCATAGACTAGTGAATTGTGATGGCCTATAAACATAAAAAGATGTTCTGTTTCAGTAGTAGTCAGGGAAATGAAAATAAAAACAATTATGGGATGCCTTTTTTTACCCAGCAGATTGGCAGGCATTGAAAGTGATAAGATCTCCAGCGGCACCTGTGATTCAGTGAGTAGGGTGCTGGCCCCATATACCGAGGGTGATGGGTTCAAACCCAGCCCCCACCAAACTGCAACAAAAAATAGTCAGGCATTGTGGTGGGCGCCAATGGTCTTAGCTCTCAGGAGGCTGAGGCAAGAGAATCACCTAAGCCTAAGAACTGGAGGTTGCTGTGAGCTGTGACGCCATGGTACTCTACCAAGGGTGACAAAGTAAGACTCTGTCTCTAAAAAAAAAAAAGAAAGTGATACGATATGGAGCTACATGTGGGTGCACTGTGGCTCAAGGAGTAGGGCACCAGCCCCACACACCAGACATGGCAGGTTCAAACCCAGCCCTGGCCAAAAACTGCAAAAAAAAAAATAAAAGAGATTACTGAAAGATTTTAGGAGGCTGAGGCAAGAGAATCGCCTAAGCCCAGGACTTGGAGGTTGCTGTGACCCATGTGATGCCACAGCACTCTACTGAGGGTGATAAAATTAGATTCTGTCTCTATAAAAACATTAAAAAATCTAGTGCTACATTAGGGTGGTGGGAGACAAGCCCCCCTCCACTGCTCTGCAGAGTAGGACACAGTCTACTGAAAGGGGCCTCTCTTTTATCGAGCACCTGCCATAATATCATATCCTGTGTGCGCTAGGTGTTGGAGTTACCTGTATGAGTAAGACATAGGTCCTGTCCTTGGAAAGGTCATAATAGAGGACACCTAAGTATGATTTTTAAAAGACACTGTCTCCAGCACAGTAGTGGAGGGATGTGCCAGAAATAGAAGAGAACACCCTGTCTGGACACTTCAAGAAGATCTCCCCATGAGATGTGACTAAGTTGAGTGTTAAAGGATAGAGCAGTTCTCTAGATAGACATGTATGTGGCAAGCAAACCCAGCAAGGTCATTTGCAAGAACCCAGCCAAGACATGGAACAGGCTGGTGTGGAGGGCATCCCTCGAGTAATGTGGAGACTTCATGGCAGCAGGGAGGGATGAGCAAAGAGGAATGTGGCTGAGGCCAGCCCTGGAGCATGGGTGCTGTGCACAGGAGTTAGGCCCTTGTAGGTGGGCTGTACGGAAGACTTCCATAGTGGAAAGGGATGATTTGGCCCATGTTGTAGCATTTTGGCAGTGATATGATGTTGCCTTAAAAGATGAACATTGATGGTAGAGAAACTGATTTGGAGATTTGATGTAGCCTAGATCATAGACAGTAGTATCTGTATAAGGACGGTAGTGGTGGGCATGGAAAAGAGGTGTTCCTATTAAAGATGCTTGAAGACCAATCGTAGAAGAGTGAACAGAGAGGAAATCCATGGTGACTCAGGATTCTAGCGTGGGCTGTTAGGTTAGATATGACTTTAAGTAAACAATGAAATACAGCAAGAGTAAACTTTGGGAGGGAGCATGCATTTGGTTTTGGGACTCTTAATCGTATGAGTCATTGTGATGTACAGATGGAAGTGTCTGCCATTTGGAATCATACCTGCTGGAGCCCTGGAGACCTGTGAGGGTGGGAACCCCAGGTTCCCACAGCAGTGTTCACTGTACAGTATTTGAAAACCTGCAAATGACTGGTTTTTTCTCCCCCTAAAGATCCAGCCATATGTGAATGGAGCTCTGTACAGCATCCTTTCTATTCCGTCCATCCAGGAGGAAGCAAGAGCAATGGTAAGAAAACGTTCTCAAGAGATGTGTGAGCCTCCATCAGCACCACAGTTCTGAACTCTTAGAGCAGGTGTCCTCAAACTACAGCCTGCGGGCCACATGCAGCCCGTCTAGGACATTTATCTGGCCTGCAGGGTGTGTTTGCCACCACTGCCTGTCCTGCTTAGCAGCCGACTCGTCCTGGGTCCCGCAGTCCAGCCCTCCAACGGTCTGAGGGACAGTGAACTGGCCTCCTGTTTAAGAAGTTTGAGGACCCCTGTCTTGGGCTCCTTACAAGGGCTTTGGGTCATTAATGAGCTATCTGAAATTGTATACACAATATGTATTTGCAATTTCCTAGGTAGAGAGTCTGCAGCTTTTATCAGATTCTCAAAGAGATGCCTAACTCCTTGGTGGGTAAGAAGCACAGTGTTAGGGAGTTCCTAGCAGGCTTATTTCTGCAAAGTTGTAGACATTCTGATACCCACCAAATGGAACAGAAAAGCAGGAAAAGAGTATAAAACTGCTTACTGCTTGGTTTGGTTGATAAATTGTGAATTCAGTATTTATTGTGTTCACATTAGTGTTTATGCGTGAAATAAAACAATGAGCCCCAGATGATTAGTATCTTATTTTGAGAGGACAAATGTTTTCAGATTTAATCAACAAACCCACTGGAGTTTTGTTCTTTTTTTACCATGTGAAACCAGGTTAACAGTGTGAGTATTAAATGCTGTAGTGAAGGGATTAAATATATTTCCATAATCAAAACACAGGCTAAATTCTGGTTTCTGGTCGAGACCAACAAAATATTCGTCCAGTTGGTTTTTGCTTACTTAGAAGAATTGCTGGCCCAGCGCCTGTGGCTCAAGCAGCTAAGGCACCAGCCACATACACCTAAGGTGACGGGTTCGAATCCCCAGCCCAGGCCCGCCAAACAACAATGATGGCTGCAACCCAAAAATGGCCAGGCGTTGTGGCGGGCGCCTGT